TGCTACAGGAGGAACTGAGAGGATGCCCCCGTGTTTTCAAGGCTATACAAATGTGGGCACTTACTGTGATTATTATTCTTGAATGACAACTTACTATTTATTGCATACTCAGAGGGTTCAAAATGAACATATCAAAATTAGTAAATGAAGCTTTTCTCTCCTTGGCCTTCTGGTTCAGTAACTTTTAGTGAGAGACACCCTTGGGGAGCCCTTGGAGTCCATTGCCCCAGGAATTAGCTGTTTGCTAATGGGCAAGTTAATTCACCTCCCTAGGTCTCAGTTTTCTCACTTGTAAAACGGGGATGATTATGATACCAGTACTACTATCAGAGAGTTATGAGGAAACTTTCAAGTTCTGTAGAAATGGGAGTTATTTTTGTTCCTTCTCTTCTTGGACTACAGCTATAAGGCACTCTCCCTTTCTAGCTGAAGCAGTCTTGAAGTGCTAAATAGACTGAGTAGCAACTGTATGGGCCTCTTAGACTATCAGGGCCTAGGGACAGGGACTATGTTCTTGTTGTTGTTGTTCAGGTGTCCCCAATGGTGTTGCTCTGAGAAAATGGGGCATGGCCATCTCCAAAGAAACTGTTTATCACACAGAACTCAATGAAGGAAGAGCATGGTGAAAGGCAGAGCAAGCAAAAACATAGAACCAGTGAGGAACTTTGGAGTAAAAGATGCGATTAAGGAAATGTATGTGAGGAAGAGTAGCTGGGCTTTTCATGAGGGCTAGGGATAAAATGTGACCTGTTGATGTCAAGAGAAATCAGGGAAGGACTCCAGCACTTTGGGTAGACTCTTTATCCATTCATGGGAGGCCATAGACAGGAGAGAAATAGGATGAGTTGGCATGGATGGAATGAGATCTGCACAGATCTATTTGAGTATTTGTTATCTATAATGCCTAGTATTTAGTAGGTGCCTAATACATGCTTGTTGGTTGATTGATAGGCTTCACAGAGGCCAATAAGGTTTCCATACATTGACATGTAAAGTTCAATATTCCCTTTCTGTCAATCATTAACTAATAATAGAATCATAGGGCTAGGATGGACCTTGAGGTCTTCTCTAAACCTCTGCATCCAAGTGTTGCCCCCGTGAAACTATCTACAATTCATGAACCATGGAAATAAGTTCAGGGTCTCGCAACCTTCGGTGTCCAAGCTAAATTCTTCGTATCAATTTCCTCTAATTCTGCCCTCTGTTTAGAACGAGAATAGTTAGCAGTTCATCACCCTTTAAAATTTCAATCAATGAATCTTGAATGACATTTATTAAGCTGGCCTGTAACTTCTTTTTTGTTTTTCCCTCTACTGTTTAGTGATCTAAGTTCTTCTGGGTTTGGTTTTTTCCCCCTTGTTCTTTTCATTATCATTATTACTTTCCTCCAAAGTAATACTGGCAAGAAGGCCAAAAATCCACTCAACAAAAACTTAAATAAATGTGTGGGCATATAAGTTTATGGATTCTAATCAGTCCATTACATTTTCATTGATCCATCCCACACTTGGGATACCACCTGGGATGGTGTACTCTGAGGCAATTAATGATTATCATTGACCTTCAGAAGTACCTTGTAAAGAGAGTCCTGGTTAGCACCAATTGTTTGATTTCTTTACTGTATGACTTTAGACAAGTCACAACATCTCTGAACCTGAGCTTCTCCAATTATAATACCAGGGTATTGGACTAGATCAGGAGTTCTTAACCTGGAATTCATAAACTTTAAAAAAAAATTCTAACTTTATTTTTACATAATTGCTTTTATTTGTATTTTTTCACATATTTTATTTTATGCATTTAGAATTTGGAGAAGGAGCCAAAAGGCTTAAGAGCCCCTGAATGAGATGAGCTCTATAGTCCCTTCTGGTTCTGCCACTCTACAGTTCCATTACTCTTTAGAGCAGCTTATCTGTGAGTCTGAGCTCCTTCACAGGTGACCCAGGAACCCAGGTGTGCTACCTTATCTAAGGAGAGCTGACCTTCAGGACTCTCCCAAGCTTTGATACTTTATTACAGTACAGGGATGATTTAGGACAGAGTGGAGAAAACCAACAATGGCTTCAATTCAATTCAATCATGTAACAAATATTTATTAAACTCTTACTGTGTTTAAATCACTCTGCTAGTTACAAAGTCAAAACCAGAACAGACCCTGCCTTCAAGGAGCTTACATTTTAAAGGTGAACATAATACATACACAGAAAAGGTATATATTGGTAATCTGAGGAATGAAAGAAGGGCTAATGACTGGGGTTGGGGGAGAGGGTGGTGTAAATAAAGTAAGGTTTTATAGAGGAGGTGACTCCTGAGCTTAGCCTTGGAGGAAGAAAAGTTTTTTAAGAGTTGGACATGAGGGGGCAGCTAGGTGGTGCAGTGGATAGAGCACCTGCCCTGAAGTCAGGAGAACCTGAGTTCAAATTTGGCCTGGGCAAGTCACTTAACCTTATTGCCTAGCCAAAAAAAAAAAAAAAAAAAAAAGAGTTGAAGATGAAGAAGAAGTATGTTTGGAGCACGGGACTGACTTGTACAAATGCTTAGGGGCAGGACAGGGAATGCTGAGTTTGGGGAATAGCTACTAGTCCAGTTTTGCTAGAAAACAGAGTGCTTGAAGGGAAATGATGTGAAATAAAGGTGAAGAGGTATCTACCTGGAGGCCAGATTGGGGAGGACCTTGAATTACAAGTTGAGGAGTTTGTATTTTATCCCAGAGGCAATACTCACTTACAATTTGATCTGGTTTTGCCTGTGCTTTACGTAAAGTATTTTGGAAGCCGTGTGGAGTATGAGGAGGAGGGAGACTAGAAATAGGAAGGCCAATTAGAAGGCTACTGTAGTGGGATCCCAGAGGTGGAAGAGGCTGTCTTGTCCAGCCCATACCTGAACCCAACAAATGGTAGTCCACCTTCAAAGTGACCATCTTCAGGGAAGGGGACCCTACGTATCTTCTCTTGTTAGGACATTTTTCTCAACCTCAAATCTGAATTTGCCTCTTTGAAACATCTCACCATTACTTAGTTCTTCTCTCTAAGGACATGAAGACAAGATTTACTTCTTCTTCTTCCAAAAGAATATATCTCATAGAGAGAGAATATATATAACGTATACACACACACACAAAGACAGAGAAAGAGAGAGAGAGAGAAGAGATCACAGAATCACAAATTTAGAAGTGAAAGGATCATTCTTTTTATAATTGGTGTGGTACAGTGAGAAGAGTGATGAATTTAGAGTTACAAGATGTGAAGTCAGTTCCCAACTGTCACTTTTGTGACCTTAAGCAAGTCACTTAACCTTAGGTTCCTCAGCTATAAAATAAGAGAACTGGACTAGATGAATGCTAAGACCCTTTGAGTGATCTGTGTCTTTAGAGGACATCTAGCCCAATCAGGCTGCTAGGTGGCACAATAGATGGAGTGGGATGGATGGAGTGGGAGGCCTGGAGTCAGGAAGACTCATCTTCTTGAGTTCAAGTCTGGTCTCAGACACTTATTAGCTGTGTGACCCTGGGCAAGTCTTTGCCTCAGTTTTGTCATCTGTAAAATGAGAAGAAAATGTCGAACCACTCCAGTATCTTTGCCAAGAAAACTCAAAGTGGGGTCATGAAGAGTCTGACACAACCAAACAACAAACAAGTTCAATACCGTCATTTTGTAGATGAGGTTTAAGTGATTTGCCCGAGGTTACACAACTAGTACAGAGCTGGGGGACAAGCCCAAATCTTCTGATTCCAATTCCAGTGTTCTTTTGGACTATAGGGTGCTCTGCCCCCAGAGATAAAAGGTTTAAAAACTATGGGTGAACTTTCTCTCAGGTATGATGAAACTGAGCTAGCTGAGTAAGCTATCCTTAGAACTTTATAGATCTAACTACAACATGGAACTGCTTTCAGAACCCCCACAGTGTCTGTTCTCAGGGTTCCTCCCCTCCTCTTTTTGCTACAACAAACAAATAGAGGTCAAGACAGCAAAGATTTCCCCCCATCTTGACTTCAATTCATTAAACAGTGAAGGACGTGTGTCCAGGCTGGAGTGAGGAATGGACTGATCATTGATTGATCGATGGTTTGTTTGTTTTCTGTTCCCAGGACCTACTGTCTCCACTGCTTGGTCATTTCTGCTTATCTGGGTCTGTTTTTATTAGGCTCAATATGCATTAGTTTTTCATCTTATATTGACTGAATGAATGAAAAAGCATTTATTAAGCACTCGATATATTCCAGGCCCTCTGTGAGGCACAGGACTTTGTTGTAGTTCTTCGTTTACAGCATTTCATTTCCTGATGCATCCCTCTTTCTTTACCCAAAGAGCCACCTCTCCTAACAAAGATTAAAAGGGCTAGGGGTGGGCTGTTGAATCAGTTCAGCACAACCTGCAGATTAAACACCTATGACAGATATGCAATATTCCACACCCATAGGCCCCCACTTTAGCAAAGAGCCCCAGGACGTGCATTTTCTCAAACATCCTTCTCCTAGGATAAGTTTGGCCATTATAATGACAGCCTTCAGGCTGAATTCTCCTTAATTAAAGAGTTAGCCAAGTGGCCGTAGATGAACCAGGCAGTTCTGGGATAGAGGACAAGCAGGTAGGCAGGAAGGCAGGTAGGCAGGTGGACAGGCAGATCGAGCTGTCTGAGGGAGCCTACCACTGGAGAGTGGCCGTTTAGGAAGCAGCAATTCCACGCGAGGGCCTCGGCGAGCACCCAGTTCTCCAATCAGAGCCGCAAAGGGCAAGGCGAGGTCATGGAATGTAAATGTTGAGGGCTGCGGGGGAGGGAGGGGTCCGGAGGCGCGCGCCTCGGCAGCCTCCCCAGGGGTGGGGCCGGGGAAGCTAGCTCGGGAGCGCCTGCCCTTGACAGTTGGAGCTCGGGCAGAGCTGTCCAAGAGCCGCACCTTCGGTGTCCTCGGAGCTCCGAGAGAGCGCGCGGCGCCGGGCCGGGCTGGGGAGCGCAGTCTGGGCGCTGCGGGAGCCGCTGGCCCCGGGATCCTCCACTTCGGAGGATGAGCAGATCTCGCCCGAGGAGCCCTCGGGATTCGGCTTCCTCCAGCAGTCCCGAGCCCCCTCTGTCTCGGAGATGAAGGGTCCGCAGCCCTGAACCGAAAGCCGGGGCGAGGGAAGGACCGGGAGTGCGCGGGGGTGCCTGGCGTGCGTCCGGGAGGGAAGTAAGGTGGCTGCGGAAGAGAGCCCGGCTGCCTGCGTGTGAGAGCGAGCGGGAGAGCGCAGCTTTTCCTCTGTCCTGCGCCGGGGGCTCCGGCTATTGTTCCGAGGGCTCCCAACCAAGTAACAGCCGCTGAAACCAGTCTAGTCCCGCGCAGGACTCGCTGAGGTTAGTTTAACCGCAGGGAAGCCTTGGGGCTCAACTTGGGGGCTGGGTTTTCTTTTCTTGCTTTCTTGTCTTTTTAAACAAAGTTGCCAGAGCCTCAGAAGACAGGGTTGAAGTGGGGGCAGGAATTCCCATAGACCTCGGGAAAGCCCTTGGCCGGCCCCTGATAACCCCGGGGTGTCGCTGCAGTCGGGGAGATAGATGCCTGGCAATTTGTTCCGAAGCATCCGTTGCCCATGTGGCTGCCAGAGTTGGCACTTTGGGTTCACTGGGGGTTTGCTGAAGGCATGATTTAGAATGCAGGCGGGAGGAGGACGGGGAACTTCTCTTTTGCCCTGTTCCCAGAAAAGTTGTTTGTCCTAAAAGTGTCTTGTGTTGCAGCCCGCGTCCCTTGTTTACTGGGGGGTTGCCAGGATTTTTTTTAAAAATCAAATGCAGCTCACAAGGTGGGGGTGGGGGTGGGGAGAGAAGGATGAAACGAATTGAAAAGGGCTCAGCTGGAAGCCGACAGTTTGGAGGAGGCAAATTTCTCTACTAATCTCTTGGAAAGTTTGCAAAGAAAGCGAAGGAGCCTGCCATGTAGCTGTTGACAACTTTTGCTGCTTCTTTTTCTTTGTTAAGGAAAAGAATGAATAGCTGGTTGTGTGGGTCCCTCTGTCTGGAAAGGAAGGGGGTAGAGGGGTGGGGGCTGCTCTGGAAAGGGAAGCAAGATCTGAGCCCATCTTTCCTAACAGTTAAGCAACTGACACTTCCACCCCTTTGCAAAGTTTTCAAGGTTGCATAGTACCCCGGATGGAAAGGTCAGCTGTCTAGAAGCATATAACAAGGTTAAAGGATTCTGATCAGGCTGTTTCAGGGGTGGTAGATGGTGGATATTGTTTCCTGGCATTTCATTCTGGTCGTTAATTCATCTACTTCAGTTAAAAAAGGTGGTGGGGGGGGGAGAACAAAGGGGGAAGAAACTTCTGAGTAACCTTCTTTTGATCCAGCTCAGCTAATGAATTTGTGCAAATCTGTTCTTTTTTTTTTTTTTTTTTTTTTTGAAGAGGCTTTTAAATCTCGACTACTATCTCTCAGGGTTGCAGATCTCTCCAAGGAAAAGAAATGGGGCGGGGGGAAGAAAAAAAAGAAAAGAAATGGGGTTATCTGGCTTTAAAGAGGGAAGGTCAGATTGAGAGTTGAGGCTACCCCTCCCTTTTTTCTCCCTCACATTCATTAAGGCAATGATTGAAATAAGATCTGGAAAGAAGATGGAAGGACCCCACTGCCAAGATCGGGAAGAGTGTGAATTTTAAATTGGAATAATTAACTCAGAAAACTATTGTAGAGTGAGTCTTTTATTAGGGAGTTGCAGTCTAACATGCTAGGGAATTCTATTAAGTATTAATGATAATGTTATTAAGCAGCTTGTTGTTCAAAGAGCCCCATCGCCAAGTTTCAAAGAATTTAACATTCTGGGCTTTAGATTTTCAGGATAATTAATTGAAATCCATATTCTCAGAATTCAAGGAGAAGCCCGTTTGTCAAGTGAAGGCTAATCCTCATAATTTTATACTGCTTGAAGTATAATCTATCCATAAACTGTGAGGTGGGATTACTAGCATTTTAATCACTTGGCTAGACTTTATAAGCCTGCTTAAAATGGAGTGTCTTTAAAGGTATACACCTTTAATTCTAAGCACAAGTAAAGCTCAGCTTTTTTTCCCCCTTTTCTTTTTTTTCCCTTCTTTTTAATAACATCTATCCCTTCTGGCTGTTGTGAGGATCACATGGGACGATATTTGGGGTTTTTGAAATAATATTTAATTTTTTCCTCAATTGCATGTAAAAACAATTTGTAACATTTGAAGCCCTGCTTCACCAGTGGTTGTACTACCTTGTCTAGCTGCTGGGGTGGGTAGGTGGGAATGAAAAATAATTGACATTTCTGTGGATTTTAATTGAGACTCAACGTTATTTCGTTTAGGCCTCATGACTACCCTTCGAGATAAGCGATATAGTTATTATCCTTATTTGACAAATGAGCAAACGTTCAGAGAGGCTTAGCTAATGTTTGAGAAGTCACAGGGTCACAGATTTTGAGCTAGAAGGGACCTGGGGGTGGGAGGGATGTTCATTCAGTGCGATCCTGTCTTTTTTGCATATAAGGAAATTGAGATTCAGAGAGGTTCTTTGACTTGCCCAAAGTTATACTTGCAGTAAGTAGAAGAGTTGGGATTTAAATCTAGGTCCCTGGACTCCAAACCCTGTGCTCTCCCCACTGCACCCCAGGTCCATCCTCTCCACTGTGTAGGCAATGCTGCAGTGATAGAAGTCACGACCTCTCTGGGCTTCAGTTTCCTCAACTGTAAAAAACGTAAGCAAGAACAAGGAGGGTTAGCCTTGCTCTCTATAGTCCAGTTCTCAAATTCTATGAGTCTTTGAAATGTAAGTCCTCTTTCCTAGAAGTAAAGAGTTAACTAAAGTTCATTTCCAGAATAAAAAGTGTAATAGAAGACATTATATTCAAGTGTGTATATCCACTAAGCCCTAGAGTGGAAGGATAATCATATTTTCTCTGTAAACATCCCCTTTAAAAAAAGAGAGAGAGAGAGAGAGGTTAAAACAGGCAGATGGCCAACCCAACTTAACTCTCATTCATTTCACAAAGTTAATGCTGTAAGGCTAGCAGGACTGGCCTGCTTCTACAGCTATTTCAAAACCAGGTCATTGGCCAGTGTCAAGGTGGTAAGCAGTTCCATGTTTTTGACAGGTGTCTGTACCCTTCCTTTGCTCTTGTTATCAATTATAAATCTTTGACCCTTCCTCCGGGTCTCTCTCCCTTTCATTCTTATTTCAAGATTTCAATCCTTTGGACCTTTGTGTGCTTTCCAAGGTCTGAAATTAGATGAAGCCAGAGAAACCATTTATTGCATGTGTTGGTCTTACATCACCCATCTGGTTGACACAGGGTTCACCATAGACTTGGAGATGAAATCTTATGTCTGGAGAGATTCGCCTCAGTCTTTTTGTCTTGCACTGGCATGTTAGGCCGTGCAGGCTGATCCCTGTGAAGTGTTCGATGTTTTTTTCCTGCTGTCCTTGATTTGATGTTTTTAGTTTTATTGTTCCCAGCTAAAATTTTCCCCTCCTAGTGTGGAAGGTCTGATAAATGACTTGGCGTTCTTTCTTAGGGGTGGCAGTGTCTGAGGAAGGAGGGAGAGAAGGAAGCCGGTCTGCTCTGTGGGATGTTGGAAGCAAATACAAAACAAGTCATTTGATTCTGATTATGGTCTTTGTTGAGGCTGTAACCCTTTATACAAGGGAAATTAAGAATGGAGCAAAAGAATTCATTAAAGAAATGAATAGGAGAAAAGATGGACTGGTCATAGTAAGAGTGTGAGCTAGACTGTGGGCAGTCTGCATGCTCCACAGGGACCCTCATGGTGTCTGGAGAAATGGAGGAAAGAAGGCATCCAGAACATTGGGTGGAACCTTATGAAGAGCTTGTGGGAGGCCATGGGCCAGGGATGCACAGGAAGCGCAGGTGTGGTTCTTACATCCATTGGAGTCTTTGTTATTGAGAGCTGAGTTGCAGTGGGTCAGGATTTTAGTTGATCAGTTGGTCAACCAACATTTATCAAGCACCTACTATATGTCAAGCACTGTGGGTAAGCACTGGGGATACAAGAAGAGACAAAAGACAGTCTCTGCCCTAAAGGAGCTCACAATCTAACGAAATCAGGAAAACCTCAGTCCTATTTCCAGTGAATACTGATGGTGTGACCCTGGCCAAGTCATTTGGCTTCTCATTAAGGCCTGGTTGTTCATCTTCAGCCATAGAGGTGTTTTCACTCTATCAGAAATGTTGTCAAATACTCAGTGGTAGAAAGAAGTAAGTGGGTTTAGCACCAGAAACTCAGGTTACTCAAAATGAAGTGTGAGATTAAAAAGAGAAAAGCCAGTTCAATTTCTTTCTTTTTTTTTTTTTAACTTTTTGCTGAGGCGATTGGGGTTAAGTGACTTGCCCAGGGTCACACAGCTAGTAAGTGTCTGAGGCTGTATTTGAACTCAGGTCTTCCTGACTCCAAGGCCAGGGCTCTATTCACTGCACCACCTAGCTGCCCCTAGCCAGTTGAATTTTTATTGAGGACTTTAAATATCTGAAAATGGAAAGCAGTATCGTTCTGTACCTCAGTGTTCCATGGCATCGTGTGGCAGCATTAGTATATTGGAAAGAAACGCTGGACCTGGAATCACCTGGGGCACCCAGGATAAACCCTTTAACCCTCAGTTTCCTTGTCCTGAGGTAAGAGTGGAAAGAGCACTAGATTTGGAGTCAAAGGACCTGGGTTTAAATCCTGGATCTGTAACTTACTACCTGTGTGACCTTGGGCAAGTCAATGACTTTTTATCCCTAAAATGAAAGCACTAGACTTGATGACTTCTAAGGTTTCTTCTATAATTAAATTATTTATTTTTAGTTTTCAACATTCGCTTCTATAAGATTTCAAGTTTTAAATTTTCCGCCTCTTTCTCTCCTCCCCCCTCCCCAAGATAGTGTGCAATCTCATATAGGCTCTACTTATACATTCATATTAAACATTAAGGTTTCTTCTAGCTCTGATTCTGTAACCTGGAATGAAAACCTTCCTCTTTGAGATATAGCAATGAATCCTTCTCTTTTCTCCTCTTCCTCCTCTCTCCCATCCCCCCATTAATGTAATCATAGAAGGCCCAGCCATTTTGATTGAAGCACCAAAGTAAAGTAGGTGTGAATAAATCCTCAGTTATTTTGAAAAAAATCAGAGGGGCTTAAGGTCATTTGATGAAAGCAGATTATGCTATGTGGGAAAATGGGGTTTGAACTCAGGTTCTCCTGAATCCAGGGCCGGTGCAGTATCCTTGGACTGACTGAAAAAATGACGCACTTGAGGGCCTACGTACAGCAAAGTAACCCAGTTTTAATTCAAATGACAAGCCAATCTAGTGGTGGAGGAGCTCCAGCCAAGTATGTTAGAGGG